TCTCTGTCCTTCTCTTTCTGTTCTTTGCTCTCTGTCCTTCTCTTTCTCTCCAGGGGTCGCCTCGGCGAGTCCTCCTCCATCTCACTCTGTCCTCTCCTCCATGTCCTCTAACTTATTTTCTTCATGTTCAAGATGAACAGGTCGGGCGTTTGATCCCTTGGTTGGACGGTGGCCTCCTCACCACTGGGCCAAAGTTGCATTTAAAGTCTGTTTTATGTTTTGGGTATCTACCCGACACTTCTTTCTATCCATCCACCATCTTTACCTGCTTCTTCCTTTTCGGGTCGTGGGGTCACTGGTGCCCACATCCAGGGACACCTGGACAGGTCGCGCAGAGAACAAACTCCACCCAATAAGGCCCCTGGCCAGAAATTGATCTGGCGATCTTCTCGCTGAGCGGCAGCAGCTCCTCCAACTGCACCACCGTGCCGCACTTCTTTCTGTTTTATCATAGAAAATGTTTCAGCTGTTTTGTTTTATGTTGAATGTAAGACTTTGTAATTTATAAATTCTATTAACTACTGCTGGTATGATCGATGCATACTTCCTTAATTAATTAATTACTTAATCAATCAATCGTTCCCAGGGGGAAATTGGAGTTAGTTTTTCTTTACAAAATAAGATCAGCTGATTTGTACCTGGTGTTACAATGATCCCACTGGCAGGAGATTTATTTTTAATCCATTTTGTGTCAAACTGCGTTTCTGATCGCAGTAAAATTTAAACTTTAAGATGTTTTTTATAGACTGATCTTGTCCGTTGTTGTTTATATTTTTTAATATCGAACATCAAAGCCGATGCCGTTGTTCTGATGGAGGTTTGTTCTTGTTAAAGGGAGTTTTTCTTTCCACTGTCTCCTCTGTTCTTGCTCAGGATGGGCGACTGTGACAAAGTGAAGATGGAGAGCTTTTACTAATTGTCTTTAATAAAGTCTGTGAATGTTTTTGTGCCCTGAGACGATGCATGTTGGGACTTGGCGCTACAGAAATAAACTGAATTGTATTAAATTAATGCATGATAAATGTAAATATTCAGAAGATAAATGTAACCTTTGCTTCAGGAAACAAACTGACGCTTGAGACCAGACCATCTAAAGAGGGGGTCGACGTCCGTCAGGAGCTCCTAACGTTTCACTCCACGTATTATTCTGCTAACCTCATGGGGCTGTGTGTGTTGGGCAGAGGTAAAGCTTTTAGTTCACACAAATATGATGCAAAACCTGGGGGGGGTGTACAAACTGCCTCAGCAGAAGGCTTTCCTCCATCTTTTCAGAGTCTCTAGATGAGTTGACGTCCATGGTGGTAAAACTGTTTGGAGAAGTGGAAAACAAGAACGTTCCTGTCCCAGAATTCCCTGAACACCCCTTCCAGGAGGAACACCTCAGAGTGGGTCACTTCTTTCTTTTGTTTTTTAACATTTTGCTGTAACGCAACAAGAAATAAAGTAGTTCATTAGATTTCACAAAGACTTTTATTGAGCTTTGCTTTGAATTCTGGGATCATTCTTGATTTTGTCTTTCTTTCACAGAAATTCTACAAAGTGGTCCCCATCAAAGACATAAGAAACCTTTATGTAACGTTTCCCATCCCAGACCTGCAGAAGTACCATAAATCAAACCCGGGACATTATCTGGGACATCTGATCGGTCACGAAGGACCTGGCAGTTTGCTGTCCGAGCTGAAGTCTAAAGGTACGACGACGCGCTGGAGGCACTTCAAGGATTGTTCTCCCCCGTTTGCTTCTGTTGAACCTCAACTTTCTTTTTACCTTGAAGTCAAACGTTGGTTTCCAGAAAGGCGCCCCCTCTTCTTAACGTCACCGAAGTGATTTGTTGTTGTTTTAAAGGCTGGGTGAACACGCTCGTGGGAGGGCAGAAAGAAGGAGCCAAAGGCTTCATGTTTTTTATCATCAACGTGGACCTGACTGAGGAGGGCTTGTGTAAGTATGTCTGAACTGACGAGGAGGCCGTGTGGAGAGATGAGGAAACGTCTGGGAGTTTAGTTTTCAGGAAACGCATCGGGCTTCAGGTGTGTTTGTGTGTAGACGTCTGATTGCAGTGACTGAGGCGTGATCTGTCTCTGCAGTGCACGTTGAGGACATCATCTTTCACATGTTCCAGTACATCCAGAAACTTCGCACCGAGGGGCCTCAGGAGTGGGTCTTTGAAGAATGCAAGGTGGGATCCGTTTCATTTTAACAGTGACTGTGTTTATACAGCAGCGCTCGTCATCTCAGACCCGACTGCTCAAACTTCTCCTCGTCGTGTGTTCTGCTCGTTTCTGTTTGTAGGATTTGAGCAAAGTAGCCTTCAGGTTTAAGGACAAGGAGCGACCCCGTGGCTACACCTCTAAAGTGGCAGGTTTGCTGCATGTAGGTACCTTTCACCTCAGTGACTCTTTCTGCAGCTGTCATTCGATGATCTCTGATCCAGAAGATTAGAGCTTTCTGAGTGACAGAAGAGGAATCACTACTAAAGATCATGTTCTGTACGACTTACAAAGCTCGTCTTGTTTTAGAATCTGAGGCTTTTGTTAAACAGTGAATTTAGATGTTGTCACTAACAACTTGGAATCTCTTTATCCAACGTCCTCCAGCTTCGTGCTGTTTCCTGTCAACAGGTTTCTGTTCTGTGTTGCAGTACTACCTTCTGGAGGAAGTTCTCGCAGCCGAGTATCTTCTGGAGGACTTCAGGCCGGATCTGATCGAGATGGTGCTCGACAAGCTCCGACCAGAAAACGTCAGGTGAGTTGGAGAAAAGTTCGTTTAGACGTCCGCCACAGTCTCGGTTCCTCGCATGGTTCTTGTGTTTTACAGCTTCTCAAATATCCAGTGAATGATCAGAAGTTATGTCATTTTAAACAGGAAATAATAATAATAATAAATGTGTGGTTTTTTTTTATTATTTTTGTACATTTTTAATGAAAACAGATTTAGAGATGCGATCAAATTCATTATTATTGAACAATATTTGCTCCTTGGCTCTCAGTTTATTTGTCCATGCACCAATATCAGTATTTTAATTATTTTTGTCCACTATGATTAAAAAATATTGCAACAAAACCTGTTTATTTAGAAGTAAAATATATAAATAAATTTAAATCGTAAAGAGCACGCAAAATGTAAAGTCCAAACCTGAGACACGGTCCATGTGGTCAGATTAAACAGGTTTTTCACCAACAGGTCAGCGAATTAAATCCAAGCAGTAAGAAGTTTCCTTTAGTTTGTTTTAAAAGCAGAAAAAGTGATTTTAAACTGGCCGCTGATTTTTCCAGAGAGGAGTTTAAAATCTCTGACGGAGGATATGCAAGTACAGACCTGTTTGTTGTTGTACCTTTGCAGAGTTGCAGTGGTGTCCAAGTCATTTGAGGGTCAAACCGACAGAACTGAGGAGTGGTACGGCACACAGTACAAGCAAGAAGCCATTTCAGAGGAAACCATGAAGGTAGGTGATCAAACTGTCCTTCAAATCACTGAAGGTGGAATGTCTCTGGGCTGAGCAGCGTTCACACGACCATCTCCAGACTTTTCAGGGTTTTCATTTCCTCGCTTGAGTCACAGACGCATGCAGCCTCCTGGCTTCAGTTTTGAACAAGTTTTTTAAAAATTGGATTTACAAAATTTCTCTCAAGACGGTCAGAGTTGTCGCAGGTGTCTTGAGACCATGTCAGTTTTCTGTTTTGGCTTGTACAAAGCAATACAAGGCAGCTACAAAGAAATAATGTGCACCACCTAAAAGACAGTTTTACAATAATAAGTATGTCCAACGTTTCATCTTTCCTCCAAAAGACTTCATCAGTCCGAGGAGCCACAACAACTCAGTCTTATAAACTGTACCTTCACATAGTGGGTCAACCAGTTTGATGGTTCCAAGATGGTTTCTGAGTCCGCCCTCTCCCCCGCCGACTCGTTTGAGGCAGTCCTGGTGAAAGTTCTTGTTCAATAATCTGCGTGGAACCATGACTGCCTCAAACAAGTCTGCAAGACCCCAAGGAGAGCAGATACAATGAAAACAGAAGGGGTCCAAGAATTGAGCCCTGCAGGACCCCGCAGGATGGAGGCACTGAAGCAGATAAACTATTACCAACAAAATTAACACAAAACTCCTGTCGCCCAGATACAAACAGAACCAGTGTTCTAATCTTGATAAAAGGATACTGTGGTCAACCGTGTCAAAAGCAGCGCTAAGGTCCAGGAGGACCAGGATCACAAACTGACCAGAGTCAGAGTGAATTCAGGTGTTACAGTCCCTTCCTTGGCCACAGGTGTATAAAATGAAGCACCTAGCCACGCCGACTGCTTCTACAAACCTTTGTGAAAGAACGGAGCTCTGACGGGCTCAGCGGTTCTGAGGTGCACCGTGCACAGAGGTCGCCAACGTTCTGCAGAGCCAGGAGCTACACACCTCCACACTTCATGTGGCCTTCAGATGAGCTCGAGCAGATTAGCTTGGCGTTAACAAAGTTAACTTTTTAGTACCTGAAGAAAACCCACTCAGCACGGGGAGAACATGCAAACCACCCAGAAAGGCCCCGGGCCGGGATCCATCCGACCACCTTCATTTTGAGAGGCAGCAGCTCTACCGAATTCACAGTGACTGAAATGAACATCTGTGTAGTTTAGAGTAATTCTGAGTCTCCAGGGAGGCACCACCAGAACTGGGCTTGAAGTTCTGATGAATCTGTGTCGACTTTCTGTGTTTCAGACGTGGGGCAACGCAGACCTCAACGGCAAGTTCAAGTTACCGATGAAAAATGAATTCATCCCCACCAACTTTGAGATCTACCCTCTGGACAAAGAGTCTCCTTCAGTTCCCACGCTGATCAAGGCGAGTGTTCGGCCGCCTGCAGCCAACGTCGCTGCTTTGGACACTTTTGTTTAATATTCCGGTTGAAAAGTGTCTGTTTGTGGTTTCTTGAGGTTAAAACGCAGCTCGCAGTGTCCACGCTACCGTTATTAAACATTGAGTTGAAACTGAAACGGATGTGTTTCTTCCAGGATACTGCCATGAGTAAAGTTTGGTTTAAGCAGGACGACAAGTTCTTCCTTCCCAAGGCGTGTCTAAACTTTGAGTTCTTCAGGTGGGTCTCATATTTAAAATAATTTATACTTTAAAGACAACAGAAACTTGTCTGTGGATCCATTTCCACCTTGATGTGATTATCATCTCCGTACCTTGTAAATCTGAAGCACCAATCCTGAGGTGCAGAGAAGTGCGACTCATTCAGCTGTAAGATGTTGATGGAAGTGCTAATTTAACGTTTAGTCACTCAAATGTAGACGCCCGTTGGTAAGAGGACCACTCTGTAAACAAAGTGAGCTCAGTTTGTTGTTGTTTGTTTGTTTGTAACAGAACCGAGTGTTAGTTTGAGGTAAGTGTCACCGGTAATGACTGTAATCATGTCCGGTGCATCTAGAAGCTGTAAGGCCTCTGGACGTGTGCGTCATTTTTTATGCTTTGACCTCGAGTACAATGTTTAAAATATGAACCAGCTGGATTTTGTTGTCTTTAATCAACAAAACTCCAGAGGTGTAATGGTACGCACAAATAGTTTGGTCCCGCGGTTTTAAAGCTGCTCCTTGGTGTGTTTTTGTTTTTTAACTCAACAGTGAACAGAATGGTCCTGAATGAAACAACTAATGTCCCTCAGGGCAGACTGGGGACTGTGGCTCAGCGGTTGGAGCAGATTATTTGTAGACGTGGCAGAGTGCTGGTCTAATGTGTGGATGGGTCAATGAGGGAACAGACTGGAAGGGTTTGTAAATTAAAAAATGAACCATTAAAGGTGCATTTATAGATTATTTCTCAGTGAAAAGTGTAATGCCTCCTCTGAGTGCGGCTGCCTCAGACTGAAGAGTTCACGTCCTGATCCATCAGGACTTCATCTGCAGTTGTGAGTCTGTGGTGGTGAAGGAGGAGGTGAGGCGGAGTGAACGTTAGTGGTTCCCTGGTCTGTCTACGTTCAACCTTCAGCTGTGATCATGAGGTTTGACTCGGGACTGAAAGACCAGATCCTGGATCTGAGTGACTCGTGTTCGTGCTGCTGTTGTTTTGGCTCGTTGTTCTTGTACCATTAGTGCTCAGTGTTTTCTTAGTTCATGACTCGGATCTTACTCATGTTTTTCTTTACAGTTTGTATTTTTGTTGGATGTAACTGGGACCCTGTGTACACGGTTTGGTCCCACCTCATGTAGCACATGTGGTGTGCATGACAAGTAAAGAAATGAGCTTCTTCTGGAGGCTGGCTGGGCTCAGCCTCACAGAGAAGGTGAGGAACTCTGAGTAGATCTGCTGCATGTAGTTCATCCCATTGGCTCTGAGAGAAGACCCCATATCAGACCCAGAACTCTCTGAAGGGATCATCCTCTGGCCAGGGGAACACCTTGAGATCCTGCAGGAGGAGCTGGAAGGCGTGTCTGGAGAGAGGGATGTCCTTGTTTCCCTCCTGGACCTGGTACCTCCACCAACCAACTAGACTAAGTGGAAACCATCACGGTCAGCGTCCCAAACAGCATCTTTTTAACAATGCTAGGCTCATCAAGTCCTCATTTATTTTTGTGTTCTTAATGCTGCACCTGCTTTTGTCATCTTTCCAAAGTTGTGAGCCTGAAATGCAGAAAACTTGAGAGTGTTGCGTTCTCAGACGTTCCTCTTCCTGTGCTTGTTGTCAGTTTATCTTATTGTTGCGCTCGCCACCACTAACTGGAACAAAGTTAAAGACAAAGAGACTCCAGGAAAAGCAGCACGCTTGTTTAACACGGCGCCGTGCTTGTTCCATGCGTCTCCCTAAACCAAGGGTTACCAGTCCAAGACTTTTGTCTGGTTGTGTGTACCGTTACACCCCTACCAAACTCTGCCCAGCAGCACTTTCATCAGATCAGATTAGGTTAGACAAAACCTGTAAACTGTGATTACTGGTGTATTAAATGTTTTTATTGTTCATGTATTGCTGTGACCAATACGCTTCTTTCTGCAGCCCGTTTGCGTATGTGGACCCGTTGCATTGTAACATGGCATATTTGTACCTGGAGCTCCTCAAGGACTCCCTCAACGAGTATGCATATGCAGCCGAGCTAGCTGGCTTGAACTATGACCTCCAAAATACCGTCTATGGGATGTATGTAAGTATTCAGATTACCCCGCCACCCCTCCTCATTGTCATGTCGCACCGCCGACCCTTAATCATCCTCAGACCGGGCTCCCGTGGTTCAGACAGACCTGGGTTAACAGGTCTTGTTGAGTCCTCTCTGTGACCCAATAAGACCTCTTTTATTTATCAGACAATAAATTTTAAACTGGATTATCTTTGACACAATCTGAGACGGTTCTGTGCTAAAGCCAGTATCTCATTTGGTTGTGAATGTTTGAGAGAAGTTGGCGACCACAAATTACGGAAGGATTGTGGAAAACGTTTCAGTTGAACGACTACATGATTTTTAAACTCGAGTAGTTGATGATGTCATAGAATCTAAAAATGAAAAAATAAATAAACAAATAAAACCGAAAAAAAAGTCATTTATTACTTACAAAAATAAGACCAACAAAACATTGTGAGCGTATATTTTGCTCCTAACATTTATCACACTGCAAATAAGTCAAAGGAAAACCAAAACTATTAGTTTTATTATTAAGCTGCAAAAGTGAAAAAAGTGCAACACGTCAGAAAAGAAACTAAAACCAGTGGGGGGGGGTCGACCACCCCGCACCACCGCCCGCTGTGGTGCGCGTTAGGTTTAGTTTTAAAGATTAATATGTTTATAGGTTTTTATAGGTTTACAGATTAATATTTTTTTATTTTTGTTTGTGAAACAAGGTCAGAGGAAGCTGGTTCTGGTTCGGTCGATTGGACCCGGTGTCACACCATATTCTGTGACCTGCAACGGTGCATGCAACACCGCCCCCTACGGTCACAATATACAGTGGTCACAGAAAATGATGTAACACCGGTTCACAACGAGCTCCAAACAGTCAGGAAGTTGATTCATGTCCTGTTTCCTTACGGTAGTTGAACCTGAAGATTCATCTTTAGTGAAATATTTCCACACTATTGATGCGTTTCTACCTGTTTGTCAAGACTGGACCTGCTCCGCTCCGTCTGTCTGCTGGGAGGAATCCATTTTGTAACCCGCGCCAGTGCGGATCACGTGACACGATGACGCAATGAGGTAACGGTGATATAATGACGTCGCAACGAATACTCAACGTGAAATTTCCTAGTAATCGATGTGTCGATTACTCGAGTAGTCTGATGAAGCCCTAGTTGCGACCTCACTGAGTTTGTCCTTGGAGTGTAAAGGTTCACAACGATGCGTCTGCTGTCGGTAACGTGCCGGCTGTAGGTTTGTCTTTTTAACGAGCAGAGGGCGAAGGGCCTTAATATCAGCGTCACTTCAGCTTTTCTTCATGTCGGAGTTCCTGCCGTTCTCAGGGGAAAGTGCAACTTTCTTTTTTCACTGAGAGACAGGGGCGATTCTAGGATCTGACCTTTAGGGGGCTTAGCCCCCAGTACTAACAACACACCCCATGGTGAGGTCTGTGAGAAATTCAAAAGCTTACAGCACCTGGTATTATACCAGGTGGTCTCCCATCCAAGTACTAACCAGGCCCGACCCTGCTTAGCTTCAGAGAACAGACGAAATCGGGCGTGTTCAGGGTGGTACGGCCGTAAACGAGGAGCTCAGTCACAAATAAGACTTTTAGATCAGAGCAAAGAAAGATTAAACTTCTACAACCAGAAGTTACAACACACACAACTAGCTTTAAGCTTTAACCTTTAATTTAACCATTAACCTCTGACTGCAGAGTTTGTAATAAAAGACCTCGACAATGTTGTCGGAGGAAAAAGGGGGTGGAGCTCCTGCAGGTAAGGGGCGTTTACCTTCTGGACAAATTGAGGTCACCGATTGGTCACTTGCTAATGAGCATACTGGGTTTGATTGACAGGTGGTGAGGATTCAATTTGTGAAAAAAAATCATAGATTTTAAATAACCTGTTTAAGACTGTCATCATTTAATCCAAATTTATTTCTTATTGATTCAATATTTCTGTGAATCTATTTGGGAACTGAGCTTCGTTACAGAATCCTAATGATGGTTTCTAAAAGTTTCAGGGGTGCTGAGTTAAAGTTTAGGGGAGCTTGAGCACCCCCAAAAAAGAGGCTAAAATCACCACTGCTGAGAGCCCAGTGTGTTTTATTAGACACGGGAAGGTTAATCCAGATGTTGCTTGACGCTACACCTGATGATACGGTAAATGTTTTAGGACTTTGCTTCTTTGAACATGCTCATAATCCATGCAACGCAGACGCGCTGCCCTGCGACTTGTGCAAGGTGACGGCGATCCTCACAAACATTCAGAAACTCTTGCCATGAACGCAGCATCCTGAGATACTGGTTTAACCCACAGAGCTGAGCATCAACTGTTCACAACATGTTAACCCAGGTTTGACGGCCCAAGCTGTTTTATCCACTTGTTTTCACTCCATCACTTCCCTGCTGATGGAACACCTGCAGAGTCATTAGGCTTACAGAGAAACATGTTTTATTTGATTCTATGGGATGGTTTAATAAACCCGAGGAGAAGCTGTGTTCAACAAAATATTCTTATTTAAGAACAATCTAGCAGTCGGAGCACGAGTCTTTGGCATTGCGTTGTTTCGGAGCAGAAAGCTGGTTATGTGGCTGCATATCCATACTCTTCTGATCGTTCTTCTGGCTTGTTCTTGTTGTTTGGTTGTATTTATTGCCCACCCCCTCATCACAAACAAACCCCTTTTTGTTCGTTCTGTTTGTTTTGTTCTTCCTTCCATCAGTCGCTACCTTTATGCAGATCCCGTGCACTGCAACATGACCTCCTTGTTGTTCAGGTTACTGAAGGATGATTTAAAAGAGTATACATATGCAGCCGGGCTGACCGGGCTGGTGTATGACGTAGCCTCAGGGAAGAATGCCCTCCTCGTAAGTAGCTGTGTGGAGCCTGGGTCGGGGGTGTGAGCGCTGGTGAAGGGTCCACTCTGGGTTGTAACGGAGTGGAAATGTCTTGGTTTTCTACGCTCGCTTTGACTGTGTGGCGTGTTTTTTATCCAACTTGTAGACTTGGTAGATGCTTTTTCTTTTTGCTATAACTTAAAGGGATATTTGAGACATTTTGAAGTAGTGCACTGTGTAAGAGTTATAAACACTTAATATCTTGTTGTAGAAAACACTTTGCATGGCTTCAGTTTGGAGAAACTGAATTTATGTTCGGCAAGTTAGAAAAAAAAAAAGCAAAGGCAACTGAGACACGGAGAAAACTGCTTGGATCGAGAATGCCTTCCACAGTTTTGGTCCGCCATCGAGCATCAGTAGGAGGAGAAATTGGAAATGCCCTCCATTCGTTCATCTGACTGTCCATCCATCCGTGCATGTTATGAGCATGATAACTAGAAAAGTAAGTGCGGTACTGGTGTGGCAGCATCTAGGCATAGGAAAGGTTCCTTTTGAAAATCATGTTGCCAGGTCAAAATCCAAGATGGCCACCACCATATACGTGTAACCCAGCCACCCCTGTCATTTGAGGAAACTGTTTTCTAGTTTGTATATTGCTTAAATGTATAGTTTCCTCAAATGAACGGGGTGGCTGAAGATTAATCTGTGGGGGCCAAGGCCACCGTTGGCCACCCCCTGGCTCCTCCACTGCACCTGATGGTGATAAAACCGCTCGCCTCCAGGATCCGTCTCTCTGCTCAGCCTCGGACAAGATGATAAAGCCACCTCTGTTCTCCACAGTGGAACTCCACTGGAACGTCTTGCATCAAAAACATTTAGGTTTACCTGCATTCCCTGTTCAGTTCCAATAGAGAAAAACACTCGCCTTGAAAACAACGTTCACGATTCAAATCCCTCGTAGTCGGGGGACATCGGTGTGTGTACATTGTTATTTTTGCATAATGTGGTTCTGTACATGAAACTGTGGGTGCTTAAGAGCAAACAGCAGCAACGAATCCAACGTTTCATGACTGCACAATATATCAGACATGTATGTTGCCATAAATGAGTCCACAAGAAATAAAGTGGCATGCCTAAACTGCATGCTAAAAAAATCTTCTACATTTGGCAACGATATGGACTCGTAGTCCATTCAATGCCCCCTACATGGAGAGAATGTTGTCAAGAGACGTCCAGCGTAGGGTGAAATATTGAAGCAACCAACTGCCCCACCGGACCTTGGCAGCAGAGCTAGCTTTATTGCTAGCTATAAGTTCAAGTCAACTTTATTGTCGTTTCCACCACATGTACACGAGGTGGAACGAAATTATGTACACAGGGTCCCAAGTTGCATCCAAAAATAGCAAAAATATAAAGTATAAAAAGAAACCATAAGTAAGGATCAAGATATACATTAAGATATATGCTAAACAAACGCCAAACGGTACGCTAGAAGATATATGCTAAACTGTTTCTGTAACTCATGTCTTTGAGTTTGTTTTTAGCACAAGTGATTCTGTCACTGCAGTGTTCTGCTGTGTTGTATGGTTTGTGTTGTAAGAGCAAAGGGTGACGCGTTTCTCACTCTCCTGCACTTGTAGCGCTCGTTAAGCGGGGCAGCAGTTCCGTTTCCTGACCGCTAACATATTGGTTAATTTATTTACCCTTTTAATAATCAGATCTCAGCACTGAAGCTGAAGTTTGTTTACGACGGCAAACTCTTTACCGTTATATTGACCAAGTCATGTCATGTCAGTGCCAGCACAAAACAGACACCCCATCCCTCCCACACCGGATCTGCCACACAGACACGAGTATATCAGACAGGATTACTTTCTTTATAAGATATAAATCACTGCCAAGTGTCCCAAAATCTCTCAGCAGATCATTTCAGAGTATCTTTTCCAAATGATTATGACACGTAACTTCTCTTATCCTGTGTTCATTTGCCGGGGGATGCAGATCATAGTTGTCTTTTAAAATAAATTAAAATAGAATCAACAATTTAAAACCAAAATCACGTTTTTCTAATGTTGTACAGTCGTAATCTGAGCACTCGTATTTAAACCTTTACAGCCCAGTCAGTTTTTTTATTGCGCCATTATTTTTGTCAGAAATATTAAAGTTTCTGTCACAAGTTCTTCTCCCTCATTCTCCAAACTGAGATGTTCAAAAAGTTACCTACAACAGGAAATCTAATTGTTTAAAACTTTTACACGGATCAGTTTTCAAAAAGGCCAAAATATCCCTTTAATGTCTTGTTTTATTTTTATTTGGTTATAAAAATTCACCCTGATAATAGATCTTAATCAGACAAAGTGTACAAAACTAACCTGAGGTGGATTTCACTTCCTCTGAAGTGGTTTCCTGTTTGTTCATCTCATCAGTAGTAAGATGATCTCCACACCTGTGGAGGTGAAGCTTGGACCTGGTTTGAAGTGACGCCATAAAACGCTCTTCACTAAACCTGGTTTATACTTCACACGACAGAAGACATCTGATCTCGCTGACGTGGTTGTGAGATGTTCTTACTCCAAGAGAAACTGTGGGGGAGAAGTCCTGATAAGCCCCGCCCACTGCAGCACGCACCATGAGAAGTCCTGATAAGCTCCGCCCACTGCAGCACGCACCATGCACAGAGCGAGCACGGTTGGCAGAGTGGATGTTCATTTTCTGTTGATGGAGGAGGAAGATCTGGTATTTCTTTTGTTAACTAAGGAGAAGCTCTAATTTACAAACCTGTCTCAAAGAGACGTCACAGATTCTGACAGACGGTTTGGGGACATGTCCACGTTGTCCAGCCGTGGACAGCAAACACATGGAGAGACGCCTGGTTCTCATACGTGTCTCCTCAATGCTATTTCCTTCCACAAGCCTCTCCTTGGCTAACTTTTACTAGTTTTATTTGACTGTCTGCATAGACACGCCCACCACGTTCTGACCACGCCCACCGTGCCTGGCACATAACCCTGCGAGACACTGGTTCTGTTGGGGGGCTGTGCCAGCAGCGGTGTCTGAAGGGGCAGTGTGAGAAGGACAAGAAGTCATTTTGACACCCAGCCATGTCAGCGAGACGCATGTAGACTCTTCTGGTGTAGAATGAACCAGCCGCCCTCACGCCACCCGTTTGTTTCCTGCTTTCTGAGCACATTTTGCATTTCGTACCAAGCTGTGAATGAAACGGGTTTGTCCAAGTGATGTTAGTTTTTCTTTGTTCTTTCAAGCATTTTAATTTCTGCTGCCTTGTCACAACACCTGCTGTTTGAGCTTCTTCTCAGCAGTGAATTTATGAGCCGTGTCTTCAGATGCGGCTGGCCACGCTTTGTGTAGCTGTGTTTATGGCTGCAGGTAATTGATTTGAGTCGGTGGTACTGCAGCATCCAGCCGACCGTCGGTTAAGGTCAAAGACGTTGGGAAGCATTAAGAGGCGTCACCACTGGGACTTGGAGATAAACGGGATGAGTCTGAGAATGTGGCTGTTGAGCGTCAGGCCTGAATCATGAACGACATCAGAGTGAGGGAAAACGGCGGATCAACAAGTTAGACACAAAACTACAAAAAGCATCCATAGATTTCAGTTGGAGTCGCACACTGATGATGTAATATGTTTGCATCCTTGCACAGCTGCAATAATCGTGAGGCTGCAGGTTTGAGTCCAGGTTGGGTCAAGAAGACATTCGTGTGAGTTCACTCACTGTGACGACCCTGAAGAAGGGATCAGCTGAAACAACAACTGCAAACAAACTGTGACATCACGTAACATTTCTGTGGCCGAGGTGCAGGTCATTTTGTTGCACTATAGTCACAAAGTGTCTTAATCATGTCTCCATTTGATTGCACTTTTTATTTTTCAGTGCAGTTTAAGCGGTCGTGGAACCCTTCCAAAAAGTGCCTCGCATTTCTTGCACTTTTTGGTACACAGAAACCAAACGGACAAGGATTTGAGTTGCTCGTGCTCGTCATATTTACCGTGTTAAATCGGTGGTCCCCAAACATGGCCCTTGAGGAACGCCATACTGCATGTTTTAGTAGTGTCCCTGCTCCAACACGCCTGATTCAGTGAATATATTACTTCCTGAAGTTGTGTTAATCACCCATTCATTCAAATCAAGTGTGTCAAAGCAGAGAAACAAGTAAAACCTGCAGGACTGGGTTCCTCGATGACCAGGGTTGGGAACCACCAACCGGGGTTGGGAACCACTGGTCTAAATAATACACAGGTTGTAAAGCGAGCCTGTGATCTGAGCCAGGGAACTAAAACTCCTGTGGACATTTTCATGAGTTCCTCATGGACACCGTTCAGTTTGTCAACAACTTGTCAACAGTGTCGTCCATGTGAGAATGAAACCGAATCGTCCTTCAGGTCAGTTCTGTCCTCTGAGAAACCGTATGCTCTGACCAAAAACTGAGCAGACAAGTAATCCCATCGGTTAGAGAAGAACAACACGATTCAAACCACTTCAGCTGGGAACAGTTCCTGCGAGCAGCTTCTCGTTTCTTCAACATGGCTGAAGGCCTAACCCTATCTGTTGTCGTGCAGAAGAAGCTACTCCAGTTCTGGCTCCATAAAACCAACAGAACAAAGATGGAAACCCATTGCTCGAATCCGTCAGGCCCGTTATCTGCTGCACAAACCTGCAGAGGCAGCGTTATAATCTGTTATAATCTGCTGTAGTTTCAGCAGTGATCCAAAAATAAAACCCGCTGCCCAGATTTACAGAACAAGCAGGTGTTTTGGAAGCAGTGGTCACGCTGCAGCCATTTGTTCACGGCTGAACGTCGGGTAGCTTCTGTAAACCTTCGGGCCAGCGGAGGTTAGCCGACGTGTTTGACGCTTCGTGTCCGTAACGCTCTTCTTCTGTCACGCTTTGCTGCAGCTGTCGGTCAAAGGCTACAACGACAAACAGCACATCCTGCTGAAGAAGATCGTTGAGAAGATGGCCACCTTCGAGATCGACGAGAAGCGCTTTGACATCATTAAAGAAGCTGTAAGTTGATGTTCGTCACTGCAGAGTTTAACTTTGAGTCCTTCGCACCAAACACCGCGCCGCTACAACCCGGGCGCTCACATATCTGCCCAAACACGGGGGTGTCCTCGTGACTCAGAGTGAACCCCACAGGTCTTCATGACGACTACCTCCCTCACTCATGGTTCTTTACTGAACAAACTAACACACGATGAACAGAAACTAGGCTAACGAGAACAGATTAGTCACTAAAAGAACAACGTTAAACAGTGAACTGGAATGATTAAGAATGAGATTAGGATGAGGAGATTAAGAATTAACATAAATTCTACCCATAATCCCTCTCTGAGGTCATGTGAGCAGCAGTCAACCATCTGGTGGTTGACTCTTGTTCTACAACAAGCTGCACACCTCTCAGTAGCTGGTGCTCCACTCATGTTCCAACACCTGCAGCTGATGCATGTACAGAATAGTTTTTATTTTATTTAGCGTGTACGTTTTATTTTCAGGTGCACTCAATAGACCGGCAGTTACGGTAAATACCGGTATTAAACCTTCACAGAGACTCCGGATGAATGAAGTTTAATGATTTTAAGTCTTTTCAACCCTCTGCTTAATGAACGGTTTCACTCGTTTGTTGCTCGTCACTCCATTTCTTTGAAGGTTTTTCTTCAAGTACATGTGATTTTTCTTTCTTCTCTCTCGCTCCTTGCAGTACATGAGGTCTTTGAACAACTTCCGAGCCGAGCAGCCTCACCAGCACGCCATGTACTACCTTCGTCTGCTGATGACCGAGGTGGCCTGGACCAAAGACGAGCTCCGAGAGGCCCTGGATGGTGGGGCACAGATTTAAACCTTTAGTTTGACTTTAGTCTCGCAGGTCCTTCTTCACAACGAGCCCAGGGCTCGGGCTTTAGGAGCTGATGGTTGTGGTCTGTGTTGCAGATGTAACTCTCCCACGGCTCAGGGCCTTCATACCTCAGCTGTTGTCTCGGCTACACATTGAAGCCCTCCTCCATGGCAACATCACCAAGGAGGTTTGTTCAGTCTCTGATTTATTCACTGAAATTAGATTTTCGTTGCCTGTTTTACATGGAACTGATACTGATGTAACAGGACTGACACCGATGGCCGCTTGGAGATAAAAGTTGTGATCATATTGATAGGCAAAACATTTCTTCAAAAATGTTGACAGGTGTTGATGCAGTTGCTAATATCATCTTTACATTTTGGCTGCAGAGATTCTGCTGGTCACACATGAGTTTTTACACAACACCAGCTTTAACGATAGAAACACCCACAGGACCCAAGTGCTCTGCACATAATAAACAACCAGACAATCGGTCAATAAAATTTATTAAAATGATAAAATCATCATCTCGGATGGTGTCAAGAGACAGGTCTTAAGAAGGATTTAAAACAGACAGGGAAGAGTCTGATGTTCACTGAAGGTCGTTCCACAGTTTAGGAGCTGCAGCAGCAGAAGTACGGTCTCCTCTGAGCTCGCACTCAGGAGCAGCTGATCCCACGTCTGAGGGATCCAGAGGGTGTGTATGGATGTAGCAGCTCAGACAGATGGGGCGGGGCAAGTCCATTAAGAGCTTTAAAAGCAAATAAAATCATTTAAAAATGAATCCTGGAAGGTTCAGGCAGCCAGTGCAGGGAGGATAAAACAGGAGAGATGTGGTCAAACCTTCATGTGCCAGTTAAAAGACGTGCAGCAGCGTTCTGGACCCTCTGAAGCTGAGGGATACGAGTCGCTGATTCCTGTATAGAGCACGTTACAGTCGTCCAGCCGAGTGGTCACCAAGGCGTGAACTACTGTTTGAAATGCTGCTGAGAAAGAATCCGCTTCACTTCAGCTGCCTCAGATAAAAAAAACTAGTTTTAACAACTGCTCTGACGTGGTTTTCTAACTTTAGTCCAGCATCGACTTTGACCCCCAGGTTGGTAACAGCTGACCTGATGTACTGGGCCAAAGAACCAACATCTGCACTGGGAGTCTCAGTGGAGCTTCCAAAGACCGTCACCTCAGTCTTTCCCTCACTGAACTTGAAGAAGTTCACAGCCATCCAGGCTTTGATGTCCTTCAGACATGAAGACAGAGGGGCCAGAGAGTTAGTCCTTTTTCTTTAGCAGGACATGTATCTGTGTATCATCCATGTAACTGAAAGGAGATTCCATGTTTTCTAAAAATGGAGCCAAGAGGGAACATGTACAGCGTGAAATGGTGGGGGCCTAAAACTGAGCCCTGTGGGACCCCACACAAAAGAGCAGCAGGAGGACCTGTGGTCACCAAGATAGCCGCATAAAGTATACTCTGCTAAGTAGGACTAAAACCAGTCCAGTCCTGTACCGCTGACACCCCACCCCAATGTTTCAAACAACAAAGTAAGATGTTCCGGTCCACGGAGTCGGAAGCAGCAGATGAATCTAAGCGCAGGAGGACGACGGTCGCCAGAGTCCGTCCATGAGTTTTTATTGATTTTTTTTATCAGTAAAATCGTCCACGTTGAGCAGCGAGCGTGTAAAAAGTGTTGAAAGATGTGAAAACTGCAGTTCAGTCCAACTTCCTGTGACCCGTTTAAGGTCTGTGTGGTGGTTCTGAAGCCGGAGCTGCAGGTCCAAACAGGACTGGGTCTGCGTGCGCGCTTTGCCAACATCCTCGCAGTTTTTTTAACCTGTCTGTCGTGCAGCGAATGTTTACTGACCACCGCACTTTGCTGTGGCGCCGCATGCTGTTGTGTTTAACGTGCTCGCTTTGTTCCAAACTGCAGGACGAGCTACAGGGTAGTAAAGAGGCTGATGTATTGATTATGCATTGGGCACATTAATTGATTACATCTCATAAAATCATCCTGGTAGAGGCGTAAAGGTTTCACTCTGAAAACATCTACTTTTGTTTTTGTCATCCAGACTTGTTTGTGCTGGTTAGTCCAGGCTGTTTACCAGTGTCTTGCTCTCCTCCCAGTCTGCTCTGGCCATGATGCAGATGGTGGAGGACACGCTCATTGAGCACGCTCACACTAAGCCCCTCCTCCCGAGCCAGCTGATTCGCTACAGAGAGCTGCAGGTTCCAGACGGTAGGTACCGTAGTGCTCATCTTCTCCTGCGCTCGTTATCGCTGATGCTTTGTGGCTTCTAAAGATTGGATTAAATTCTTTAACCCGTCCCGGATCAGTAACCAGAACTCTGACCCGACTGAGCAGCGTGCAGCTTTCACAGCTGAACGCCTTCAAGCCGAAACATTTGACCTCTGTTGAAGATGACGTCATCTGAACCCATCCAACAAGATCCCAAACCTTTCGAACGCACAGTCCATCGTCTGGTCCGGTTAACGGTTCGGTTCTGAACCGCAGCATGTCGCAGCTCCTGTGAGCCGCAGGTTCAAGACCTGTGGGACGACTTTAGGAGGGAGACCAAAAACTGTGGCTGATTGGAGACAAACAGGAAAAACTGAAAATACTACACACTGTACTCAATCTGAGTACTTTAAATACTACACAC